TAGGAAATTAAATAACTTTTCACAATTCCATTTCGAGGTTAATCCTTGTATGTTAAAGACATGTGAACCAGGTGTTGGTTGTTCAGTGATGAAATGATCAAGCTGTTGGGCAATTAAATGTGATTCATTTGACAGTAAAAACTGTGGTTGACGATGCGTAAGAGAAGTAAGATCTTTTAGATGTTGATGTTGAAGGATCTGTTTGTGTTCGTTCAAATATACACCAGCTGTGTCTGGTAGACGCTGTTCAAATGAACGTGAGCATAAGTCGTGACTATTTCGTAAACTCCCATACGATAATGAAACATCAGACTGAAAGCAATAAGAAAATAAATAACAGTAAAATATAGCGTTTACATTTAGTTGTGCTGTTAAACAAAAAACGGTAGTTACCAGATATTCCTGACGATTTGAAGTGGGTCCTAAATGCGAAAAATACTACTGCCATTAATTTCGAAGTTAATCATTCTTTAGGCATAAGAGTAAAAGTTTACGTACGATACGTATCGGTTTCTTCCGATCGGGATGGTGATGGAGATTTGAGTAAAGGTTTTCGACGTGAATATCCTAAACAAAATACAGATTATTGATTCGCAAAAGTCAAACGATCATATTTTTATAATTTTTGAAAAAAACACAAAACATGTCGGCTTGACAAAAATGCTCAGCATCTGAATATTCACCCTGCAACTGAGCCTAAAACAAAAAGAAAAGAATAAAATTAGATTTAAAGAAAACAAAATATCCTTTTTGCCAACGTTATTGCGACAAACATGCAAAACAATTTCTAATGATATAATCGAGGAATTATTTTCTGTAACATATTATACTTATCACATACATAACCTTAAAAACAAATTCGCCTCATAGAAATGAAGATAGCAGCGACAAAGTTTATCAAAGATAAATCGTCGCTGCCTAAATATAAACATATTTATTCAAACTTATACTTTGAGATACAGAATTAGATGAATGGAACCTATAGTCATATTTAGTGCATGAATAGAAAAGAAAGAGGCGTGCACAGAAAACTTTAAAAGTTAGTTGTAGATGATAAGTTATTTTAATCAATAAAAGTATTTTTGTTTTACATGTTTATATAAAATTATGCTAGTAAACAGATTGCTATTGGAAAAAATATGTGTAAAAAGAACAAACAAAATGAAATAAAATGCTTCTACTTACATCTAGTGAACATGTTAAATGTTAAACATAATTGGATTCTTGTTTATTTAAATTTTAATTTGATGATAGTGGTAACGATGATGATATTTAATTTGTAGTCTTCGGTATTATTTACATGTGTCATCGTAATTAATAAATCCTCCAGTGCATATGTTTCCAATACCTAATTATCGTATCTTATTTCTTGTAATCAAAATTTATGAACAATTTTTACGCATTTGCCCACGGTGAAATCATATTTGTTTACATAGATCGAACAATTTATATTTCAAAAGAAAATTGAAATATGGTGAGGACACGAAAAAAAAAGTGGGCAAATCTTTAATAATCGTAAAGTCCTTGCATTCATAGTCACAAAACAGATTAACACTTAACTGTGAATTATTAATTAAAAGATTAAAATTAACACACTTTTAAGGAAGAGTGAGAAACTTTTATATGTAACTTTAATTATATGTAAGAAGGGATGAAAATAGAAATATATGAAACGAATGCTTACCATTGTCTTCAGCTTCCAAATCTAAACCATCTGGATCATTTCGACGAACATTCAAACGACTGGTCTGCAAGAGAAAAGAGATAAACAACAATAATTTTTTTGTAGAAAAACAATAATTGCTAAAGATGTTTTCATCAGATAATTTAAATCTCGTAACGTCTCAACTGAGATGCAATCCATATTTTAATCAAGTATCTCAGTTGAGAAACCATTATTTCTGCGAAAATATCCGTTTCTCAACTGAGATACATTGGATAAAATATGGATTTTGTGAATTTTTCAACCGAGATACAATTTTGACACGTACGTTGAAACGTGCAAGAGTGCAGTGTACAAAGATCTATTATTCAATAGTTCTACAAAGTCTACAAGAATTACAGCGACTTTCACGCCATTTTGCATACTTAGACGTTTTTCACAAAACTCGTAACTCAGACATAAGCACTGATGACGACGTGGAGAGCAAATAATAAGGAATAAGAATAATAAGAATAAGAACTGATTTTGTTGTTACGTTTTTGCATGCATGCGACTACTTGATAATAATTTAATAGATGGTAATATTTGACCATGTAATGTGGGGATAATTCCTTAGATAGTCAGGAGAAATACATCATACACCTAATTTTATTTTATTCACTATTGAATAATAGACCTTCGTACACTGCACTCTTGCACGTTTCAAAATTGTATCTCAGTTGAAAAATTCGCGAAATCCATATTTTATCCAATGTATCTCAGTTGAGAAACAGATATTTTCGCAGAAATAATGGTTTCTCAACTGAGATACTTGATTAAAATATGGATTGTATCTCAATTGAGTCCAAACCTTAAATCTACCTTCGCCTCGAAACAGAAAAAATCTGTAAACTAAACAGCACGGCAGATTATTTTCTGTTCGAGCCAGATGGACTATAATAGAACTCATCAGTCTATACTACATATAATTGTAGTAACAAAGAATTTATGTCAAACTAAAGAAACATATTGCTGACGTTCCAAGAAACTGCTTACTTTTGCATAATCAATTTTTAATGTACAACAATCAGAATATATGTCAGCACCATCTAATTCAGTTTTTGCTAAGGCTGCTGTTTCAGGCGTATCGAATTCAACCAATGCTTGAACACCACGTTTACGCATAATTACAATTCGTAACACGTTTCCAATAGCTGAACAAATTTTATGCATCACATCCTGAACAGAGAATAAAATAGTAGAAAGATTCAAGTATGACGTAGAAGAAACTTACCACTGTGATAGGATACTTTGCATTTTGTATGTTAAACAATAAAACAGCGGTTTCAGGAAAACTTTTTGTGTTGAATTGTTCATAAGAACTAAAAAGTATTATAGTATATAAATTACATTTACCTTCTTCAATAGATTAACTACGCACTTAAACCGATGATCGAAATCTTCTGGCTATAAATCATAAGAAAATAATATATAACAACTGTTACTTTTTAACCAGTACTTTACATACAGATGTCCAACGCATGCGTTTTTTTACTTGACCAGAATGTCTATCACTTTCAAACTCATTTGTACGAGGTCGATGTTGTATCCTAAATAAAACAAAAGATCAAAATGGAGATTTAGACGACTGCTGATGATACAAACATATTTGATCTTTGCAGCGATGATATATTTGTTGGATTATTATATGTATTTCTCTGTGGAAAACGTTGCTCGTGATTCATTGTATCTGAAAAAGATGGTGAAATTATTGTTTACAGATTTTTAGTTTAATATTCGTATTATTAGACTCTTTATTTTTATCAACCAAATATTTCAACTAGCAAATTTCAAAGGTTACAAGAAAGATTTCATGCATCTCTGTTTTGACATTGAGATATAATCTAAGTTTTTCTTTTACTAATAAAGTCGGTATCACACTAAATTGAATTACTAAAGCTTGATTTGCTAATCTAGAACGTTCGAATCTCAAAGAACGGAATAAACTGTATGTGAGCAGATGAAAACTATGTGTTTATTTCCTGCACTTTTTAGTTTTCCAGAAATGCAAGTTCATAGAATGAAAATTTAGAATGTAAACAAAAGCAAAATAGGATTCTATTTCCTACAAAAACATTCCTGTTTCGAAATAGCTACGATCATCTAGATATTTTCTCTTCTACACTACAGGCGACAGCGGATGTGTGGCCGTTGAAAAACCACACGTACTTTCAACAGCAACGTAGTTGCATATCAAATGCAGAGAAGTCGTTAAAAAGAGTCTTTTGCTAGTGGGAAAAAAATGTTCTATATTGTATCATTTTTTTCATTTTTTGTGTTATATTAATTGTGAGTTCAATAATGTAGTTTATCTAAACCAAAATATAAAGATTAATAAACAAGACATTGTAGACTATTTAAGATCAAGCTAATCATTAATCGTCAACTTTTTAAAAAAGGAAATTGGTTTACGTTTTTTTGAGGTATTTTATGGATGTTAATGCATAGATGACTTCGAATCCTTTTTTGTTGAGTCGGGTTCATGCGTATTTTGGTTGTAGAATATCGCAATTTTCGTGGCAATTGAAGCGTGTGTGTAAGCTTTTAATAGAAACAATGTAATTTTTTGTTTTCTACAGCGAGCAGTTCGTTACCTACAGCACAGTGCGTCAGCGGGATTCTAAAGTTAATCAGGATGAGTATAAAAGTTTTCTTCAAGCATATCTGAAATGTATTTCACCTTATCTTTGACTGCCAGGCACTACGTCAGAACTAGAGTCAGAATAAACCAAAGACCGTTCAATGATGTTGATACACTTTTATGAAAGTACCTCGCCCAGGTCCAAGCTTTCGGGCGGTAAACGACAGTATCTCCTCAAATATGATGCTGTTACGACAGCCATTATACTGGTCTACACTCAAATATTTTCAAATAGTTTTACACAAAAAGTAAACGACTGTAGTATAATCTCGTATATAAGTCGTACTTTTATCGTGTGTATTTTTCTCATTCACCGTTTTGTTCTGTCACTAGCAGAGTGTAAAGAAATGATCGATTCTAAGGAAAAATTGTAAAGTCATTTTTGATCTTACGAAATTTATTGCAATATCATTTAAGGACACGTTTGGACATGTTCTGGACAGGAAAATATTGATGAGAAAAACTTTTGAAAATTTAATTGGAAAATTAAAAAATAAAAAAAATAGTCCCAAAACTACGACTATTTGAGACGAAATACGGTAAAATAGCTTACGATGAAAAGCGCTATTGTATACGATGTCGCATACTGTCGTTTCCCTTCTGATGAAATACGATATCGTAATACCGCACGTGAGAATACGACACGCTTACGACATGTATATGTCAAATTACTATATTGTTTACTCTCGTATCCAACATCGTACACAATAGTTTTCGACAGTACACAACAGTCGTAATTTTATCGATGCCCATACTTATTCCATCAAAAAACGTGCTCTAGAGTCAGGTGCGTCTACGCTATAGTAGGTTTGAGGCAGAATGCCTCAAACGAAAAATGAGGTGGTACATTTTGAAAATTTTTTTGCCACCATCATGTCGGGGAAAAAATTAAGAAATTGAGCGGGAGAGTTGAAGTTAATGTTGGAAGAAGGACGTTTTGGATAATAAATGGACACTGTTTCCCCTAAAACGTAAAAATAGGACGTTTGCAGAATCTCGAAGTAGGATGCTAATAACTTTAGAGGTGGGACATTTTAGAATCTAATCACCGTTGAGTACTTCTGTACTTATCTAGTTCTATAAGTATTGAATTTCAAAAAAAACACATAGGCCATTTGTTCAGCATCTTGAGTAACCTAGAAATCGGTGGTTTTTAATGAAAAATATCAAGGACCGGAAGATGACCTTTCAAATTTGTCCGGACAAATTCAAATTTAAAGTTTGACCAGAGTTTATTCAGTCAAAATCTAAATAAGAACATAATGCTGTGATGATGAATGAAAAAATTAATATTTTCTTATATAATTATTCCTTTGACGTTAGTTAGGGTAGAAAGTATTTGTATGTTCACAGGGACACACCAAGAACCTAATAACTCTTGAGAGATACGGTGTAGATGGCTGAAACTTGTGAACTATGCATAATGGAACACGGAGAATCTGATGGTACAACAGGAGAATCTCCAGGAGATCTTCAGAAGGGTTTTGAAAAATATTTGGTTTTCTGCCGATTTTTAACTATAGTTTGAATCAACATAAAGATTAAGCGCGATGTTCGACCTCCAGGACGCGCGAGAAAAGGCCAAAGAAGATATCACAAGGTCATAATGTATAGAATTTTGTCAAATCGATGTTCAACCCTTTTCCACCACCCTTTAGAGATCTCAGGACGCGCCAAACGGGGATTATGTAAGGAAAAAGTTGTTTTTTTTCTATTTTTCACAAATCAACCATTGTACTTTACTGAAAAACTGCATATTATTCAATGCTAGCTACTCATGTCAAAACTCGATAAAAATTATTTTCTTCTAACCGTCCAAAAATCTTATATAAATCTACTCTCGGTATCTTTCACTAGCCTGGCCAACGTTTTTTTAGAAAGATCTATTTTAAATGGTTAGAAGAAAATAATTTTTATCAAATTTTGATAATAAAGTTTAAGAAAACTCGACCAATATGACCAATAGGATCGCAGTTAGTTACGCTTTTATTTGCTGTTCTGCACTCTAGACTAGAGTGCAGAACAGCAAATAAAAGCGTAAGAAGATCGAGATTTTTCGGAAAGCTCTCTTCTTTATTTGTTACTTCTGACTTTTCATGCTGATATGACGTTTCTTAACAACTAGTAGTAACATCTAGTATTAGTTTTATTTAAAAAGTAAAATAAATATACACGAAAAAAATAGTATTTAATAGTAAATTTTTTTCCTTCATTTCAGAACAAGCTGAAAATATTTGAGACAAGTGAGATTTATTATTTCAGAAGATTTTCATTAATTCTATTTCCTTATGAAGTCTATATTTCCACTTTAGTGGAAACTGTATCAAAAAAAAATGCAAGATCTTCTAAGATTTCACTGTTACTTGTTGAGAAACGTTAGTCAGAAAAACAAGAAGTGATAATTACCTACTTTTTTCTTGGTTTGACCAGTTGATCTCATTCCACCAGTGTCTTGTGAAAAATGGTACCTTCGTTTGACCAGCATGCAAAAAACAGATAAGTGCTTGTAGAGAACGAGCAACCCGCTAATTATTCGAGACTGGCAGTTTTGGGGAGACAAATTGAATTAATGACATTTCTACACAAAGTTTGACTAATAAAAGACATTCTATGTGTGGTTTGAAAGTGCTGTTCCCCTTGTCCAAAGAGAAGACTTGAGTTTTTTTTGACGATTGTATTCGATACCAGAAATAGGTTAGAAAAAGCTGAAGTCAGTAGGGGATAAACGTAGTTTACTGGTTGGTCTGTAAAAATTTATGTTTATGTTACTTTATAAATATATTCAACAAAACTTTGTAGAGAATTTAATAAAACATGTTTTTGAAAAAGAAATTGACGGTTGATGATGCACTGAAGAAAAGATATATGCGCAATAAATAATGTTACAAACATTTTAAGACACTCCCCAGGTCGAATTTGCCCGATCGAATTCTGTTAAATCCGGTGATTTCTCGAGATCGAGCGTCCGATCGGATCCAGAGATCAAAATTCGCTCAATTTTTTGGCCTACTGATATTTGGTTCCGGAGATCGGTTCCGTTAATTTCCGGTGACTGGAAATTAACACCGGAGCCTGTGATGTACACTTTATTTTTTTTCTTTCTTTTCTGTGCGCTTAATATATTCTCCATTTTATTCCACAACAGGAGCACTTTAAATATGGCACTACAGAAAATGAAAAATGGCAAGTTGTTCTTCTGAAAATCTTAACGGTGTGAGGCATCGCTCACACTGTTCAACAGACGTGTTGTACAGATCCTAGCTAATGGGTCCTTCCACTCTCTCGAATGAACGAACAGAGAGAGGAACCACTAGAAAATGAAAGAAAAAATTTAAGGCTATTTTTAGCCTTAAAACATCTGAAAACTAATCACATTCTGCTAAATCGAGCGAAATCCGCGGTCTGAAACTCGAAGGATCCGGTCGGATCTTTTCGGACATCTTCCGATACGGGTTCTGAGCAACGGACTTCCGGTATGGTTGTTGCCAGATTTTATCGAGTTTCGACAACTTCCGGCATGTTCTAGTGTTGAATCCGGCAGGTTCCGTCAGGATCCTGACGCCGGAATCAACGATCTAGGTCCCGTCCCGATCGGGACATGCTTCTTTGATTTATCGAGCTAAAAGGGGATCTCTCTAAAAGTAACCACTACGTCATTCTTAACACTTTATAAAAATTCCAGAATGATTTTTTTGTTGAAAATGAACCTTTCTGCAGTGATCATCTAAAAGAGTGCCCATTTTTGAAAAGTTCTGAAAGTGTTCGCAGCAGGCAGGTTTTACTGTACATTAGTGTTTTTATTGGTCATTGGAGAGAGTGTTTAGATTTTGAAGCCGTTTTCTTTAGTAATTAGCGATACCTTTAATGTTTCGATTTCCTGAAAATTTACTAGCTAGATTGTAATATATTTATTTTCTCCGTGTTCGAGAACATGCTTCGCTTCTGTTTACATCCTCTTTGATCTACTTTATCTTATCTGTTAACCAAAGATAGCAGAACAACATGAAGCCCACGAGATTCATTTTTTTCGGGGAAGAGAAGTTC